CTTGATGTAGTAGTTCATCAGAAGAGAATTTAACCATGAAGCTATTTGCAGATACCCACTTGATCTCATAGGTCCAATCCCAGACGTTGAAGCGATACCCTAGCATCTTTGTGAGCTCCTCCAAAGATGGCAGACCCAGTTCAAGAGTGAGGAGAGCAAAGGTAGTAAGCTCCTGAATGTTGCTGGCGACGTTATCTGGCACGGGGAGCACTCGTGGAGAGGCGCTTGCTCTCAGACCATGAGGGCAATCCCGGGAGATATGTCCCGAGCCATGGTAATGGATACAGGCGCTATCATCGTGAGACATGATCTTCTGGTTTAGGAAACAAAGGGGGTGTAGTTGATAATGAGGCTGGGATGGGGAGAGAAGGGTTTTAAGCTTGTTCGCAAACCTGACGTAGAGAATGGCGGTGATGGGAAGATTGATGGCTGCATTGTATGGTCTTGTCATTGAACATGCGAAGGGAAGAGGGTAATTGTCGTGTGGTAGCTGGGAATAGCGAGGAGCCAGGTGATAATACTGCCTATCTTAGGAACATAAGCTACTATGGAATGTATTTAATGCAGAGAGAAGCCGAAAATTTTCTCTTGGTTACCTTGGCAACTAAAAGGCTAAACTTGACAACCAATCGATAAGCTTAACAAAACATGGCCAAACTTCACAATAAATCAGAAAGCTTGACTACCAGCACATAACCTTGACAGTCAGTCCATAATCTTAACAATAAAACGATAAACTTAACAAAACAACCTTGTATCATGTAATTATTTTCTGCACAATCATGCAACAACCTTAACAACAAACAAATAAGCTTAACCATTCTATAAGCTTAACAACAAAGCGCTAAACTTAGCAACCAATCCATAAGCTTAACAATACAACGTCAAACTTCACAATAAATCGGAAAGCTTGACAACCGGCACATAACATTGACAACCAGCACATAACCTTGACAACCAGTCCATAATCTTAACAATAAAATGATAAACTTAACAAAACAACCTTGTATCATGTAATTATTTTCTGCACAATCATGCAACAACCTTAACAACAAACAAATAAGCTTAACCATTTCATAAGCTTAACAACAAAGTGCTAACCTTAGCAACTAATCCATAAGCTTAACAATACAACACCAAGCTTCACAATAAATCAGAAAGCTTGACAACCAGCACAAAACCTTAACAGCTAGTCCATAATCTTAACAATAAAACGATAAACTTAACAAAACAATCTTGTCGAAGCGTAATGATTTTCTGCACAATCATGCAACAACCTTAACAACAAACAAATAAGCTTAACAACAGAGCGCTAAACTTGACAATGAGGGGCTAAACTTAGCAACCATTCTATAAGCTTAACAACAAAGCGCTAAACTTAGCAACCAATCCATAAGTTTAACAATACAACGCTAAACTTCACAATAAATCAGAAAGCTTGACAACCAACACATAACCTTGACAGCTAGTCCATAATCTTAACAATAAAACGATAAACTTAACAAAACAACCTTGTATCATGCAATGATTTTCTGCACAATCATGCAACAACCTTAACAACAAATAAATAAGCTTAACAATAGAGCACTAAACTTAACAATGAGGGGCTAAGCTTAGCAACCATTCCATAAGCTTAACAACAAAACGCTAAACTTAGCAACCAATCCATAAGCTTAACAATATAACGCCAAACTTCATAATAAATTGGAAAGCTTGACAACCAGCACATAACCTTGATAATAACAGACAAGCGGATAGTCTCTCAGAAGGCTAAGCTTGACAACCAGCACAGTAACCTTAACAACCAAGGGCGAACATTCACCTAAAAGGCTAAGCTTGATAACAGAGCGCTAAACTTAACAACCAATCCATAAGCTTAATAACAAAGCGCTAAACATAACAAAATAACCTAAGATCTAAACTTAGCAACCAATCCATAAGCTTAACAATAAAACACCAAACGTAACAATAAATCCATAAGATTAACAACCAGTCAATAAACTTGACAGCCAGTCCATAATCTTTATAATAAAATGATAAACTTAACAAAACAATCTTGTATCAAGCAATGATTTTCTTTACAATCATGCTACAATATTAAGAACAAACAAATAAACTTATCAACAACCCCGTAAACTAAACAAAAAATCTCTAAGATCAACAACACGATGACAGCTGCATGTGCAACCATTGTCTCTGCTCTAAGTTTCATAACCGTGGGTGAATATAACTGGATCCCTTCAATGAGCTTGTATAATAACAAGACAGTTAAGATTCATAAGTACGTGGAATACAATCAATTCAGATGGATCAATGCGTAAATTACCTAGGAAGGCATGCATATGCTGGTGGAGATAGTCCTCTGGCTTATGTTTACACTGTATAGCTATACAGTATTAATGTAAGCCAGAGGACTATCTCCATCAGCATATGCATGCCTTCCTATATGATTCATGTATGACCCATCTGAATTGATTGTATTCACTGCACTTTTGAATCATAACTGGGCGTTAATGTACAAACTCTTTGGAGAAAGACACATACATTCACCCACAACTCATGGAACTAAGAGCAAAGACAATGGGGATAATATCTTCATCAGCGTGAGGAATATCTAAGATCTTCATCAGCGTGCGTCCTTTTCGCCATGACCTTCATCGGCGTGAGGACTAGCATTGATCTTCTGGTTAATGGCGACAGGAGAACTTAAAGGTTTTGTGGAGAGGGTAAAAGCTTAGGATTTACATATAAAGGAGGGAGGGTCAACAGAGAATCGGTGATGGAGAGATCGAGGAAAGATTACACCGAAAGGTTATCATACCTATCCTATAGTTGAACAAGCGAAGGGATGGTGATGTTGCCACATGGGATGTGGGGATAGGTAGGAGTCCAGGTTATCTTAACTCTCCTCCTCGGGAACTAGGGAATACATTGAATACAGTAGTAGAAAATATATCCCGATGACCGTGACAACCAAGCGCAAGTGAATAACAGTAAGAGACTTAACATTAAACATAACATTCAATCGATAAACCTAACAACCAAATAGTAACATTAACAACCAATCCATGACCTTAACACTTATAATGATATACTTGATAATAAATCCATGTACATGATAATAAATTGCTAAACTATATAGGGTCATTACAGGTTGCACACTAAACTATATTAACATTAATTAGCGTGAATTAACAACCCGGTGCTAACCATAACAACCAATCCAAGACTTAACCTTATCAACAAAACGTGAAATAACAACCCAGCGCTAACCTTGACAACCAATCCATACGCTTTACTATATAACGTTAAGGTTAACAATAAACCCATAAGCTTAACAATAATGCTCTAACATCAACATTAAACCCATAAGCCTGTCTACCCAAGTGACTTCAATATGATAACGGAGATTTCTTGGATTCTGACTGTATAATAGCATCAACCTTTTGAATGCTAATAACGTTAGCTATTCCCCATTGTCATTTCTCTAAGTTTCATCAGCTGTGCCTGAATACAAATGGCTTTTACCAAAGAGCTTTCCAGCAGTCCTGTAAGTTCACGAAAAGCTCTTTGGAGAAAGCCATTTATATTCACGCCCAGCTGATGGAACTTAGAGAAAATGACAACGGGGAATAGATAAGGGTAATAAGATTCAAAAAAGGTTGATGCTATCATATGGTCAGAACCTATAAATATTGAAGATGTCTTCATCAGCGTGAGGGCTAGGCGTGATCTTATGGTTTATGAGATTGGAGAGGGTAAAGCTTAGAATGATCGAGAAAAGAGTAAGGATAAATAGAGTGGCGGTGATGGGAAGCTAAAGAAGATGTAAATGTGAGGAGAAAGGTTATAGGCTAGTTCTGTATTGGAACAAGCCGAGCGATGGTGAGATAACTCTACTACCTTGGGAACTATGAAATACATTGAATGCAGTCAAATCAAAAATATCTCGGTAACCTTGACAGCCAAGTGCAAGTGAATAATAGTAACCTTAACATTAAAATGATAAACTTAACAACCAAGTAATAACCTTAACAACCAAGCCATAAACTTAACAATTTTAACGATATACTTGACAAAATTCTGTAAACATGACAGCCAAACAGTATTCTTATCAACCACTCCATAGACTTAACAATAAAAAACAAAATTCTGTAAACATGACAGCCAAACAGTATTCTTATCAACCACTCCATAGACTTAACAATAAAAATGCTAAACACTAACAACCAAGTGCAAGTGGATAACAATAAACTTAACATTCAATCGATAAACTTGACAACCAAGTCAAAACTTCCACAAACAAGTCATAAACTTAACAACCAAATAGTAACCTTAACAGCCAAGCCATGACCTTATCACTTGTAACGATATACAGGACAATAAATCCATATACATGACAATAAAACGCTAAACTATATAGGCTTGTTATAGGTTGCACGATTGTGACCCTCCACGTTGCATCGAGAGCACTTAAAAGGATGGGTGTTCAGTGACATGTTGTTTATTCGTCTAGTGCATGGTCTGTCACATCTTTTTTTGGCGAGAGGAGGTTTTAACACTCGCTCTTCTGGTGGTACAAAGCGCTTCTCGTAATCTGGGATGGGAAAGATGATTGGTACATAACATGCTCTGAATGCGTCAATAGTTATGTAGCAATCATAATATTGATAAATTTCTCGTCTCATCCATATAATTGCAGCGCACACATATTTTTAAGGAATGCGGGTGATGTCCCAGGACCTGTAAGAACATGTTCGATTCTTCAAATCCACACGGCAAGTTTTATTAGACTCGACCTCCACAATATCTTCTGTCGAATGTTTAATCGCCAAGCAGCTACCATGCTTAATATTATCGCACAGCACCATCTCCGCTTCCGGGCATAAGTATCCAGACCATTTCTGACCCACTAGTCTCCTTTCATGCATGCGCTCCATTATTTGCTTCCGTATGGTCTCAACCAAAGGTAAGATTCGCAACAATCGTGCCTTTCTTATCTAGCTGTTGAAGGACTCAGCAACGTTTGAAGTAACATGATCATAGCTTAACAACAAAATACTAACATTAACAATAAAACCATAACCTAAACATTAAAGTCCTAACCTTAACTACAAAATTCTAAACTTAACAACAAAACCCTAGCAGAATAATTCTAATCTTAATAATAAAAATTTAACCTTAACAAAAAACTGTAGGCTAAATCTAACCTAAACAACTATAACAGTATTGTGATAAAATAACGTTGAAACCAAGCTATATTACCTTATACCAGGAAAATACGTGTTTGCCCATCTCTCCGGGTAGTATTCCATTACAGTGACGTAAGCCCTGTGATCGATTGCTGCTAATTCTTTCATGTCATCATCCTATTCAGAAATTATAAACTTATAAGCCGCATATTATAACAGCTCGCCCAACGTAGTCGTGGCATTTTTCCTTGTGCCTAAAATCCTTCATCTTTTTTGTAATTCTTGACTAGATGCAGAACATACCTTGAATGGAATGCATCTGGAAAGAATTCCTCGACTGCTGCCCTATTATCCTTGTCGCCATCGGAAATCATTACCAGTTAATGCGGAGGTTAGTAAGGATTTTTCCTATCATACAGTAACGTCCACAATCCTTGTAAGAACCATTTCTAGTTAACCTCATTCTCCTAGTCGCATACGCAATAAGTAAGGGGAAATATTCCCTGGTTGCCATCATACCCGGTGGCACTAAGTAGTATACCTCTGTAGCGATCTTTAATAAATGTTCCATCCAAAAATAATAGAGACCTGCACCCAGCAATGAACCTTCAATACATGCATTATAACTAATGAACAATTGTATGAACCTCCCATCATCAGTATCAATAACAACACGACTCCCTGGATTAGTTGCATGCACCATGGATTCATACTTGCATGAATATAATAACAAAGCAGTAAATTTAGCAACGAATTCATAACCATAACAACTAATCTTCAAACTTAACAACCAACATGTATACTTAACGACTAAAAACAAGTTTAATAACTAATACGTATAGTTAGCAACCAAAACGTAAGAGTGATTTCAGAAGAATAAAAAAGATCGTACCATCTCAGTGAATCGTAAGCCTCATCATCATCACCGAACAGGTCCTGTTGAGCTGACTTCTTACCCCACCACGCTTTACTGTAGTTAATCTTAATGCCAAAATTAGAGAGCATGTCGTTCTTGATATTAACTGCACAAAGATCTAGCCTAACCTTTAAAATATCTTGTATTTGGCTAGCAATGAACTTCCTTGATGTTCTTGAGTTGCCAGCATTTGCTCCATGTTGACCGTAGGTGTGGGTAGATTCGAAATTCTTTATGAACATGATAGACAAATTTCTGAGCGGGGAAGCAAACAACATCCAAGGGCAACCATGTGTGTGCTTGAATCGGCAATAGACTCTTATGCGCCTTTGTTCATTGTGGTAAAAATCATACTCGAACTGTTTAGCAATTGAATAGTATAGAAATGCTAATCTAACTTCAGTAGCACTATCAAATTTCTGACCAACTTCATGTATGGAGGTGTGCCACTCAATTGGGATCTTTGTTTGGTGGTTAAGCATGTCTTCTAGCAGCATGATCGAGTTGTCGGTGGGGTTGTCATTAGGAATATGCTCATCATTACAGGTTTGGGTGAACATGGTATCTGCACATCGTGAATTTTCTGTCGGTATTGTCCTGAATGTTAACCCTTATGTTTTGATGATGATTTACAACCATCGTTATCAGTACTAATTGCTTGTTGAGTGATACTGTAGTTAATATATATATCAAGCTTGTTAGTACCATTTATGAAGGATTGGATGGAACATGAGCCACAATAACAATATCTAAAGGAGGAGGAGGCATAATGATAAAGCAATGTTTAATCAAGAACACTAAACGCAATCAGAAGCTTCATCAACTCAAAAGCAATATCAAGACTCAAGAAATGTATTTCTATGTGAGAGATATTTGCTGTTTTTATTTTCTCTCTAGTGCTAGAATATAGGCAAGTAGCTGTAGATTTTATTTGAAGCTATTGGGATATCACACACACATTTTCATACTCATATTTTTGACGGTTTTGATAAAATATGGTTTTTCACAAGTATGAGGACCTATTCGCAAAATTCATTTTCTAAACAGTTTGTTTTTAGTATTAAAAACATTTTACAAAGTTACATATTTTTTAGAAATCATTTGTGTATTTTTACAGATTTTATAAAATGTCAAAAACTATTTTTAAACCATATATCAGCCTGTGCCAGTTCGCGATCGACCACCACAGTCGACCGCGCCAGTGTTTTTACCTCAGGAGCCAGCAGAAACCTGTGCGCTCGATCGTGGCGGTCGACTCGACCGCGCCAGTGTTTTTACCTCAGGAGCCAGCAGAAACCTGTGCGCTCGATCGTGGCGGTCGAACGCCTCTATTACAGAGGGCTCAGGAACTCCTGTGGTCGACCGTCACGGTCGACCGAATTGATTACAGTAGTTTCCACGGTCGACCGCCACGGTCGACCATAGACTTTACAGAATCTTTCCTTGGCTCCCGTAATAGAGGATGTTTATTTGGTTATGGTTTACCGTGGCGGTAGAAAAATCTCATGATCGATCGTCGATCGCCCAACGGTCACTTTTGGTACAGAATCAGAAAATCTTTTTTGTAGGATGTTGGGGGATTTGGGTATGAGTTTTGACTACTGCTCTTCTTCCTATTTAAACCCTCTTACCCCCTTCTTCAGAGCTATCCAAGCTCATTGTAAATCCTTGGTGTTTAGTTTATTGTTTTCAAAAGAGCCAAAGTTTTCATTCCTGTTGTTCACTGTTTTCAACTTCACATCTCAGGCTTCAAGTGTGATCTTTCTCCTTGCCATAGAGTTATTGTAAAGAGAGAGATTTTACATCATTTGCTACTGTGGTGAGCTTGATCTCGTAGAGATCAATTGTGTGGTTGTGAGATCTCGTGGAGATCGTTGTGTAGAAGAAGCTCCGGCTTCTAAACCGGGTTGTGTAGTGGATTCTCCTCTAGAGTGGGGTGCGGGAACGTAGGTCAGCGGACCGAACCTCGTTAACACATCGCGCGTCACTTGGATAATAATCTCTAACCTTATCTCATTTACTTTGGTTTTTCATTTGGTGGTATATTGCATTGTCTTATTTTTATTGCACAATTATTGCCTTAAGACCCTAATCACCCCCCCTCTAGGGTCTAACAATTGGTATTAGAGCTTGGTCTCTATAGTTGTTTTTGGTCTAACCATCTTAGAGGAAAGATCCAATGGAGGCCTCATTGAATGTGCATATGCTTGAGGGACAATCCACCACTAGACCCCCATTTTTCACCGGTAGCAATTTTGCCTATTGGAAAGCTAGAATGAGGATCTACCTTCGTTGCATTGATCTTGACATTTGGATATCATAGAAAAGAAGTATGTAGAAAAGTCCAAGATTAGTACCATGACCGATGGAGAAAGACACCAAGCTAATCTCAATGCGAAGGTCATGAATGCCTTAATTTGTGGTCTTTCCACAAATGAGTATAATAGGGTCTCCACGTGTGTAACCACACATGAAATTTGGGTGAAATTATGTGTTACACATAAAGGAACCCCACAAGTTAAGGAGTCCAAAATTAGTGGGCTTATGCATGACTATGAGTTATTTAAAATGTTTTCTAATGAATCCATTGATGCTATATTTTCTCACTTTACTAATATCATCAATGAATTGTATGGTCTTGAGAAGACATTGACTATTCAAGAGATGAACTACAAGATCCTTCGTTCATTAACTCCGGCGTGGGAGCCCAAAGCTACGGCCATAGAGGAAGCTCACGATCTTACTACTCTAGCTCTCGATGGCCTCATCGGCAAGCTTAAGGTTCATGAGAAGAAGCTTAAAGGGAAGGAGAAAGAGGAAAATTGAGGAGCCATCCCCAAAAATAAAGACCATAGCTCTCAAAGGAGCTAGTAATAACTCCTCATCTTCGGATAGTGAAGTTGATTTTTCTAGAGAAGTGACTCACCTCTCTAGAAGAATATCAAGACTCATAAAAATGAATAAGAAGTTTAATCCCCGATCTAACAACAAATTTTCTTCGCGTGTAGGAAAATGTTTTGAATGCAACGAACCGGGTCATATTGCCAAAGATTGCCCTAAGCTCAAGGAGAAATATTTAAAATACAAGAAGAAGAAAGCCATGTATGTCGGATGGGAGGAATCTGAACCAACCGATTCAGATAGCAATGAAGAAGGAGCAAACATTGCTATTCACCCAAGGATTAAAAATAACAATGATTATTATGGAATGACATGGGTACCCAAAGGTACCAAGAATACTAACACCCAAGGACCCAAGATTTGGGTACCTAAAGCTTTAACGTCTTCATCTTATGTAGGGAACATCACAAACACGACGTAGAGATGTAGTATCTTGATAGTGGTAGCTCACATCATATGACGGGTAACAAAGAGCTATTTGTAACTCTATCAAGGATTAAAGGAGGTAACGTCTCCTTCGGTGGCGGTGAGAAAAGTAAAATTATAGGTATTGGATGCATTGGTAAGATACCTTCTCCCGTAATAGAGGATGTTTATTTGGTTAGAGGCTTAAACCATAAACTTCTTAGTATTAGCCAATTAAGTGATAAAAGTTTTGATATTTCTTTCAAACTGAATAAGTGCATTGTTAGCTTAAATGAAAAAAATTATCTTTGTTGCTAATAGAAAATCTAATGTATACATTTTTGAGATGAATAAGCTAGTAGATCAAGATATTAAATGCCTTGCGGCAGTCGATGAGAATCCTTGGATATGGCATAAGAGGCTTGATCACGCCAATATGAAATTGATATCCAAGTTATCCAAAAAGAATCTTGTAAAAGGGTTACCAAACTTACATTTCATCAAAGATACAGTTTGTGAAGATTGTGCTAAAGGTAAATAAACAAAGTCTACCTTCAAATCAATTAATAAGGTATCAACTTCTAAACCCTTGTAATTATTACATCTTGATCTCTTTGGTCCTATGTGTGTTACCTCACTAGGAGGTAAACACTATGTTTTTGTTATCATTGATGATTTCTCCCGTTTTACATGGATAATTTTTCTTGGTAGTAAAGATGAATATTTTGAAGATTTTTTATATTTTGTCAAAAGAATTAAAAATGAAAAAGAATTGAAAGTTGTTAAAATTAGAAGTGATCATGGTGGTGAATTTCAAAATAAAATTTTTAATGATTTTTGTGCACATCATGGTATAACTCATGTATTTTTCACTCTAAGAACACCATAATAAAATGGTGTTGTTGAACAGAAAAATCACACTTTACAAGAGATGACACGAACAATGATAAATGCCTTTGATTTACCAAAATATTTTTGGGCGGAAGCCGTCAATATGGCTTTTCACGTTTTGAATCGTGTTTTGATTAGACCAAAGCTTAAGAAAACTCCTTATGAACTATTTTATGGCAAAACCCTATTTATTGGATACTTTCGTATTTTTGGTTGTAAATATTTTATCTTGAACACCAAAGATCACCATGATAAATTTGATTCAAAAATTGATATTGACATTTTCTTAGAATATGCTCCTAGAAGTAAGGCTTATAGGGTCTTCAACAAACGAACTCTCATTATTGTAGAATCTATAAATGTTACTTTTGATGAAACTAATATTGGTTTACAAGTTGGTTTACCTAGAAAAGATGATGATGATGTTGAGTGAGGATTGGAACTTTTACAACTAAATGAAACACCCTCAATAGATGCACAAAAGGATGGAGAAAGTAACAATATTCAAGAGCAAGAAGAACTCTCCAAAGCATGGAAATTTGCACCAAATCATCCAAAGGAGCAAATAATAGGGAATCCTTCACAAGGGGTTCTAACTCACTCAAAAGCTTTGAATGAGTGTGGTAATGTTGCCTTCCCATCTCAAATAGAACCTAAAAAGATAAATGATGCTTTAAAAGATGAGTTTTGGGTTCTAGCTATGCATGATGAACTAAACAATTTTTAAAGAAATAATATTTGGAAATTAGTTCTTAGACCTAATAATGTTCATGTTATTAGAACTAAATGAGTTTTTTGAAACAAACTTGATGAACATGGTATAGTCACGAGAAACAAAGCTCGTTTAGTTGCCCAATGATACAATCAAGAGGAGGGTATAGACTATGATGAAACCTTTGCACCTGTTGCAAGGTTGGAATCCATTAGAATGTTCTTAGCATTTGCAAGTTTTAAAAATTTTAAATTATTTCAAATGGATGTGAAAAGTGCCTTTTTAAATGGTTCTATAGAACGATTTTATGGATCATTCATTTTCTAATCGTGTTTACCGGGTTCAAAAAGCTTTATATGGGTTAAAACAAGCTCCTAGAGCTTGGTATGCTCGCCTCTCTATTTTTCTTCTTGAAAATGACTTTTCTAAAGGGGAATTTGATAATACACTTTTTGTGAGAAAAAGGAAAAATAATTTTATTTTAGTTCAAATATATGTTGATGATATCATTGTTGGACCCTAGAGAGGGGGGGTGATTAGGGTCTTAAGGCTATAATTGTGCAATAAAAAATAAGACAAGCAACACACAATAGAGAGAACAACCAAAGAAAATGAGATAGAGTTATAAATCGTTATCCAAGTGACGCGCGA